TCTCTCTCTCTCTCTCTCTCTCTCTCTCTCTCTCTCTCTCTCTCTCTCTCTCTCTCTCTCTCCTGTCTCACTCGCCCGTCCTCCCTCAATCTTTATCTTTACCACAGCTAGGCAAGCTCGGCTGATCTAAAATCAGAACAATTAGACAGTAATGAATTCTCTGGAACAGCAACTCCTACAGAACCCGGGCTCTGCCCTCGCACCAGCGCCTCCCAGCCCTCATTCCCAGCAACCAGAGGAGAGCGTGTGGAGCCCTATAACTCAAGTTCAGTGTTTCATCCGGGGCTGGATCTTGGAAACGCATGCAGCGCTCAGGGTGTGCGTGCGGGTGCGTGAGGGCGTTATCTCGGAGGGCGTTGGGTGTCATAACAAGCTGAGCTCTAAGGGGACAAGTTATAATCAGGAGTTTTCTTTCGTTAAGTTTGCAGTCCCCGTGCTTTTTAGTGTATATTTCCCCAAGCGAACTAATGCGTCTTTTAGCGGCTGATTTAGACCTCTAAAAGCCTCAGAGAGTCACCAGAGCACTTCAGTAAATTAGCTACTATTCTGGGCGGCACGGACGGGAGGATTACCGCGTGCAGGAGAGGTGAAACCGAGGACCGGCAGAAAGGGTTCTGCGGTTCCCGCACCTCCTGGTCTCCTATCCTCACTTGGCCCCTAGGAGGTGCTGGTGAAGTGCGCTTAGCTGTGCAGATCGGAGCTCCTTTCTTGCTGAGTTGCCAAGCCTGCTTCATTTCCTAGAACCGAGCAAGACAGTTCAACCAAAGGCGTCTCGAATAGGTCGTGCACGTAGCGTGAGAGCTCTGAAGGCGCAGCGGGGTCGCACACCATCTCATCTGTGGGATTACGCACTATCCCAAGCCCTGTTACAAACTCCGTGGCCTTGTGAAAGCTTGTAAGTAGAAATAATGGCTCACACAAGGGAGGTCTGCTATAAGACTTATTAGGTAATGAAGTGGCAGCTGAATGTATAAGAACCTAAGAACCTGGTTCCGCAGAAAATGGTAACAAGAAACAACAAATGGGATCATGTCAAATTAAAAAAGGTTTTGTACAGCAAAAGAAACAAGAAACTGAGAAGACAATGTACAGAATGGGGGAAAATCTGCCAGCTACTCCTCAACCAGAGGAGTACCTAGAATACATAATGAACTAGAAAAAGTTAGGCTCCCCAAACAAAAGACCTACTAAAAAAAGACAACTAAAATAGATACATCAAAGAAGTACAGATGATCCCTAAGTAGTTGACAAAATACTCAACATCACTGACCATTACACGGTGAAAATTGAAACAACACGGAGATTCCATCTTCCCACAGTAAGAATGGGCATTATCAAGAAATCATGTAATAACAAATGCTGGCCACACTGCAGAGGGGTGAAAGAGACCCTTTTAAATTGTTCAGGGGAGTGTAACCATGTGAATCACTCTCCTACTGATTTCCAGCTACTATAGGAATCAGTGTGGAGAGTCTATACAAATTAAAACTATGAATTCCGTTTCACTCAGCTATTCCCCCTCTAAGCATCTATCCAGAAGAGCTGAAGGCATATTACAGAGAGGATGTGCACGCATATATTCACTGCCGCGCAGTTTATAAAGCTCGATCTTGGCAGAGGAATGGATGAAGAACTCGTGGTACTGACTGGCATGCAGTGGAGTACTAAGCCTGCCATGAAGAAAGATAATGTTGAGTTGTTTGTGGGAAACTGGGTGCACCCTGAGACCATAAAGTCAAGAAAAATTAGACTGACAAAGCTGAATATGATGTTGTGTCTCTTTTATGACAAACCCAACACACAAATAAAGAGCAAAAGAAAAGATAAATGGGAGAAGGAGATAGGTCTTTCACAAATGAGGAGACCAACAGATGGAGGGAGAAGACAAAGAAAGATAATGAGGAGAGGAAGGAAGACACATCGCGTATGTGCACCAGTGCCCCAGAAGGCATGGAAATGCTTTGCTCCACAAAGATATACCTGTAAAATGATAAAAACCCAGGTTGTATCCTAAGGCTCAAAGAATCTGGATGCAGACAGTTTTGTTCTGCGTGACCCAAAGGATAGTGAATAAGTTAACCAATGAGTCCACTTCAAAAACTTCCTTATACATGTGCTGCCTCTTGGATTTTTTCTGAGGGAAAAGCTGAGTAGCCAATGAGTACCTTAACATGTCTTAAGGCTATGTGGGAAAACAGAATTAATCATTTTGATACTTTCTTCACCAAGATTCAATTAGTGCGTCAAAAGATGACTAAAAATTGTCCAAGCCATATGAATTCAGAGAAGTGACACTGTTTTCTCCCCAAGGGATGAACTCTCTTTAAAAATCAGTCATCAAGAAAGGGAAGCAGTTTTTTGTGAAACTTGGATTGAAACTGTTTTACATTAATATTCTAACTCAAATAAATATACCACAGGCCAAATTAGTTTCATATGATAGGGGAAATTGTTACAGAAACGAGCATGAAGTTTTGCTTCTTATGATTGGTGGTATGAATTTAGCCAAGGGAAGCACATAGTGGACGTATCTCAGTCTTTCTCCTCAGCATCCCCTTCTCTCACGGTTTGGATGATATACAGCAAGTACTTTGAAGAAGACAGTTCATGAAAAATTAAGGACTTTAGTAAGCAGCTTTCCAGCCTGAAAATAATATCTGCCCTAATTATCTAAAGAAACACAAAAAAATATTTTGTAACTAATTTGCAAGTGTATGACAGAATTGTACAGCTCCATTGTTTCATTCAAAAAAGAAAAAAAATATTAACAAGCATTTTAATTAATAAACAATTTTTGCTAAGTTCCTATTGGGAAAATTCTAGTGTGCCAAAGCATCAGGACTGGGACAAATGTACTTTTTTGGAAGCAGCGTGTAATACAGATTTCTCTAGTCAATCTATCTTTTCTGGCTGACTCAGGCCTTATTTAGCAAAAATACCCATTAGTTTTGGACACCATCACAGTTGCGTTCTAGGATCCATCTGTGGATTAAATTTTTCCAAGGAAATGACAATGGTATTTTTACTGATTCCTTCCACAGTAACTACCTATAATGTGAGGGCCAAATATTAGTCATAATCTAAATGTGCATTCAGATTATGAATGGTTGTGTGACTCAGAAGGTGATGGCTTCCCTGGGAGCACAAATCTTTCCTTTTTATTTATATAAAGAACTCCAACCATTAAATATATAAATAGATATAGATATACAGATGTGGCTATGGACATGAGTATCATTATAGATTATAGTTCATGTTCACAACAATAAGGAATGAAAATCTCCTGACATTTGGATTTGCTAGGTATGCATATCTGTATAGTGATTTGCTGAGTACCAATCAAAGGCAGTAAATAATACATAAAAATTCTCATCACATTGGCTTGAAATACAGTGAGAATGAGTTTACACTTTGCTACTTTGAGAACAACTTATCAGCGGCGACATTTTCAGGCATTGAATGTAAACTTACCTCCTGGAAAAGAGACTTGGCTTTGAAAAGATCATGTGACTTCACTGATCGATTTGGTCTTCTTCATATCAAATTAATGAGCATATTTGCCACACAACTACTTTGGGCTTCAACTCTGTGCTCTTCAGTAGGGAAGGCACGAAGGACGACCCGAGACATTTTTCACTCCTTAGGAGAACGGGAGACGAAAAATAATGCACGAGTGAGATATTGCAGTGAACGCCCTTTAAAGTGCACGTAATTCTACCATCTGCTGCGATGTGAATGATTTTAAGAACACACCAAATACAAAAACCACCTCTTTGTCCAGGCAATGCCCTCAAATGACCATGACACCCAGAGAGTTCTACGTGCATGAAGGTATGCACATGTAATCAGAAGTTGCTTCTGAGGGTGGTGCAGTTTTGCTGAGTGGCTTTGTCTACGTAGACACCGGACCTTTCAGTCTGGGCATCAGGACTTCATTCCACAAGCTCTGTTTGCATCACGCCACAGAAAGAAGGCCCTCCTGGGCATGCACGAGAATGCAATGTGTTGTGTAATGACTTGAATGAAAAGCCTCTGTGCAAGTTATTTTCTCTGAATGTTTATTTATTTTTTTAATTTTTTAAATTAATTATTTATTTATTTGTGTGTGTGTGTGTGTGTGGCCAGCTCAGCCCACCAGGGGGCGGGGCTGGCTGGCATGTGGTGCTGGGGGATTGAACCGCGGTCCCTGTGCTTTGCTAAACTTGTTCTAAGTAGGTGCTTTAGACCACTGAGCCATCTCACCAGCCCTCCCTGAATGTTTATATGT